TGACAGTTTATTTCAACATTCATTTATTTTTTACTTACAATTAAAGCTGCTAAAATACCTTCGCAATTAAAAATACCTTATAATTAATAATGATCTCGTTACTAATTTCATTAATTGAAAGATAATCAACAAGGTATTTAATTTTATTCCATTCAAAGAATGAGTATATATTTGGCAGAATATTTCGTGCTTTTTCGCTATAAAAAATAAATGTACGATTGTTTAATTTTCAATCTGCCATCTGTGTCTATTAAGTTCAAATTTATTTCATGATTGCCTGTGTAATGACAGAATATAATAAATTTTTGTATTCTATATGCTTGATATAGATTCAAAATATTAAGCAATTATGAGAGATTACTATTTTATTCTATTGCATAACGTATTTTCGAACAGAATTCGATGGACCTAGGCGATAAAAGAATTGAGAGAAATATTTGCACTTATTCAGGCCACCGACAGAATTGCCAGACGTTTCCGGCTACCCCTTGTTGCTGGCCGAGCTGACCAGAGACCGTAGATGGTCCGCGACCGATATAAAGAAGCTTGTAGGCGGAAATTTATTACGTGTCCTCAAGGAAGTGGAGGATCACGCGGCGACTCTGTTGCACCAGTTTCCGTCGGAGGAATGGATTTCTCAGGAACTCATCGAGGACAGCGCCTACTGCAGATATCACGACACGTAGGATCGTCTCTTTCTCTCTCTCTCTCTCTCTCTCTCTCTCTCTCTCTCTCTCTCTCTCTCTCGCTGGTTTCGAGGTTATCATTTTATTTCCACGAGGTGTTTTCTTTTTACTTAAAAAAACACATCATTGTATCATCTTTGTACCTGGAGTGCTCCGACTGTTTTACATTTTTAATAAAGTAGCGGTAGATTATCTCCGCATGCTTTGTTAAAGTTTCTCGTCTTCTTCACCCCACGCAATCTCACAATACGAAAAATTATCCTTTCCTTTATCTAGACTCCTGTTTCATTGCATCTGATTCATCTAATTCATTCTACTAAATTATTTCTTTTCCAGGAGCTTGTTCTTTCTGGAAGAAGCTTATATGTGAAATGAATATTTGATATTTGATATGATGAATCTTTACAGAACGCAATATTGTATATATCACACAATTTGTATTTATCTAATTTATGCCATACGATTTTTTTCTTTCGGAATTGTTTTCTAACTTTGCTGGCCACAATTAGCGCGAAATACGGATTAACAAATTTGATGAGAATGTTTGACAATCGGTCAGTCATAACTTTTACGTCACATTCAATTACGATTATGATCAAAATGGACGTTAGCAGTTAAGTCAATTTACTTTGTCTTGTGTCTCCTCTCCGTGTCCACCGTCACATAATATATGTTGAAGCAATTATTTAATCTCGCACACACATCTATACGCACAGATGCATAAAACGCTACAGCCAACAGAGGCAGACAAGTCGCAGTATGTCAATTACACCGTTTAATATTTAACTCGAGGCTTATATTTCAATCGGGGACGGCGCCGTAAATAATCGCTTGATCTGCCATCTGAATCCCGTACGGTTCTTTAAGGACAACAAATAAGTTGCGGAAGCTTTGACGTTATTTGAATAATTCATACCTACCTGTAGGAGGAGTTGTCTGGAGATTATTAATAGTATCTACTTTTCTTGCATGCATGCTTTTCACGCCGCTCTGATTAATAATTAATTCCAGATCGCGATAAAGTCATCGAACTGTCTGCGAAGATCTTCCTGATATGCATCGACAATTTAATATACGGTGAAAATTATTCTTATTAACGCATCGTAAACGAATTCATTTCTCTGATATAATGAATTGACTTCTGTATGTATATATATGTTTTCTAGAATATACGTATATTCTAGAGTAGATTTTCATAATATTAAAAAAAATTCCAACAGTTTTTAACTCAATTTTTATTTTATCATAAAGAGAGATAATAACTTTTATTTTATTTTATTTTATTCTCTCTGTCGAAGATAACTCTCTCTCTCTCTCTCTCTGTGCGCGCGCGCGTGTGTGTGTGTGTGTGTGTGTGTGTGCACAGAGTCATTTTTACTTATATATTAATATTTTAGAAAATTAACTTTAATGATGCCATTGATAATTAATGACATCTCGAAAAAAGTCATAAATATAGATATAGATTATGTTTTCTAAATTACAATAAAATGTTAAATTGTTAAAAGAAACTAATTTAATGGACGAGACAATAAATCTACAAAAATATATAGTACTTTGTAGTGTCCTAAAATAAAATAAATAAATAGATAATAAAGAAACAATAAATATTTCCTAGCAAAATTTTTCCATCTAATTAATTTAATTACTCTTTTTCTAAGTCATGCTATTACTAAAGCGAATGTTATTAATAATAGTTTTGCTGACAGAACGATAACTCTCTCAATGTAATGAAACCTGTTTGGTATAATTTGAGCGCATCACAAACAAGTATTCATAAAATTAAAACAAAGTTTAGTAAGCGTGACTGTATTTCAGAACGGATAATCATGTTTTTTATCGTATGTTTGATCTTTTAACAATGTACTAACTCAAATTCGAAAATTATTAGACAGTTTAATGTCAGTCACGCGCATCCTTTCGGTCATAAAAGGCCGACAAGAAATTGTTTCACAACTTTCTACGACAGATAAGAACAAATTAATTCTAATAGGATACTCCGCGTCATAGCTGCGCTAGTTCTTACATTTTTCAGAAATCGTGAAAGTGCTGCATTGATACTACGACACGCATCAAGCTTTCGCCTTCGTCGCTTACAGTTTGTTCTCGCGATGTGGGTCATGTGCATCGTAACAGGTTGCAATATTTTTGCTTTTGGAAACAACTGCAAAGAAGCATCATCCGATTTATTTTCCTCTCTCGAAACGTTGCTCAATAGTGCGATCGTAAGCGGATTCAACGAAGCACATCGAGCAGAGTTTTGAGTCTTGTTGACGGAAAAGTAAATTTGCTCATTTCGTAATCGTTTTTTTTTTTTTCACTTGTTTAGTTGTCGTACGATTATGTTGAAATTAAAAAAAAACTGGTTGTTTCCTGACACTGATATAAGATCTTTCAAACCGCAACTTTTTCAAGAGTCTCTTCTCCGTGCAAGTCCCCGCGAATGGAATTGCAAGTTGATGAAATGGAAAAATATGTATATTTATATTTATAATTTCACGTTTCTGTCGATATCAACTAAAAACTGTCATGTAAAACTATCTTTTATAATATTAATATTATTGCTGAGTGCAAAATTAATGTTACGTGTTACTTTTAATTTGTGTCGACTGGGATGTGGAAAAAAATAAAGAAATATTAAAAAAAAAGATCGTCAAAAAACATTGGTATGAAAAAAAAAAAAAAAATAAAAGCCTATCATCTCTCTTCGACAAAATAAAAATTGAGATAAAAGATTCTGAAATAACTTTTAGAGGACGATTAAGATCTATTGTTAAATCTTACGCTTTCTACTTGAGTAAAATTTATAATCCGTTGTTTCATTGTATTCCTTACCTTAAAATATGGCACTTTCAGCGTCGTTAGAGTGATTTCCCATCTTGTTAAATATTATATGAGAATTGGAATAAAAAATAAATATTACAATATATGAGAATTAGGATAAAAAATAATTATATGTATATATCTCCTACAACATTTAAATATATACAGATATGTTCTATTTTCGAAATAAAAAAGTATAGAAATTTAAAAAAAAAAAAGGATTGACAACTACAAAATGTCAACATATAAATGTCAACTAAATAAGAATTTCATTGCTAACTGTCATTATGTACGTAAGGTCAATGTCCCTGTATTTCTACTCAAGTCCCGATTTCTACTCACCAACTAAACTTTTCTTCGTAATATAAATATTCAGCTGATAGAATTTACAGAAATATTAATTATACAATCAATTATTTATATACTCCCGCGTGAGTTGTATGGGCTCGCTGCTCGCCAGGTAGCAGTATGTATTTAAAAATGAATTTCATAATAATCATAATTCAAGCAGTCGTTACCATTGGCAACTTCGGTCGTGACGCTATTGATTTGTGCAAGCATTAGTGATTCGGATTTTATCCAGTCACAAAATCCAGTAAGCAAAATCTGCACCGTTCCATGAAAAGTTTTTGTGTCTTTAACAAACAACGGACTTCTTCGTGCTTCTCTGCTACTTATTGTGGCTTTTTTTGTGGAAATAATAGGTGATTAGCAATACGTTCGACTATGAATTCCTATTTCGACTCATTTCATTCAATACTATAACCTCCAGATATAAATATATATTTCATTCTTCTTATATTTATTTAAATTGTATAATATATTATTTTTAAATTATTATTGTGTCTAAACTCAAAACAAATTGAAAATCTATTTACGTTTTAGATTTAAACAAGCCTAAAATAAATTATACAAGTATTACAAGAAACAAGTATCAAGAAGTGTAAGAAAAAAATCCGTAAAAAATAAATATTTAAGATATTCTCAAGAAAGTCTTAATCTTACGATGTCTTATAAGAAGCTGTTTCAAAAGAGTTATCTTATTAGTGATTTATTATTTACGTGCTTTGTTTTGTATGAAAATATGTGTTTAAAAATTTGATAAAAAGCATTATTCATTTGGAAAAGATCAATAAACTCATAATCAAATCCAATATTGACGAATAAAACATTACAGTTTTATGAGTAGAAATTAGGGTTACACACACTAGATAACATCGCGATTTCTGCTAAGTAGATATACGTACATTTGTTTACATATTGCGTTTAATTCATGATTATTTATAACAAAAGTCTTTAAAATGATAGGTCTTCATATTATAGGTCTTAATATATAATATGAGTCATATAGTAATTACATTTTTTCGCTAAATGTTACACAGACAAGAGAATAGGCCATTTAAATCTCTGTTTTTAGTACAGTTTGTCTTAAATGAGTAGAAATAGGTAGTAGAAATAACATTCACCTTGTGAACATTTATAATACATGATACTTAACGATTGAATTATTCACTGGAATTTAAATTTCCAGATTGTATAAATAAAATTTCCGAAGTACGCTTCGCAAACTAATTTGAATTTCGCTACCCAACAATCCTCTGAACGCGCTTTAAAGTATCGGCAATCTATAACGAGAGATATACATAGATATACATATAATGTTGCAACAAACATGATATTTAATTCGCGTGACTGTGTACTCGTATATACGTATATATTACGCTTCGATGGGTCTGAAGTCTTTTTCGGTTGCACGCGCAGCGTTTTTTTTCCGAGGGTGAATATTAAATTCTCGCGATACCGCATATATCGCGCGTCGACGCGACGGGCTGAAAAATCTCAATTCCAGCTACTACATTTTTCGCGAGTTCCTCTTTCTGGCATGCGACGTGCACGCGACCTACCGCGCGGAGGCGAGGAATGGCGAGGATACGCGTGCTAGTCCTACGCGAGGCGCGGCGAGGCCGAGGGGAGCACACGGCCGGGTCAAAGAGGCCAAGATAAATTGCAATCTAATCCGCGGGAGTAAGCCGGGGCCAATTACGATTCGTTGCGCGTCCAGTGCGTCCACACAGGAAGAGAGGAGTGGCGCCGTGCCTGGGGTACGACGCGACGGCGTGACGTACACCTCCCGCCTCCGAGGCCTTGCGGCAAATGCTGATAGTAAAATCCGCGTCTCTTCTTTTAAAACGCGCCGCCGAGGAAACGCGAACGGCACGAAGATCTACGAC